CGGGATGCTGTGGCTGCTTCACCCATAGGGCTTTAGCCCTTACAGCTGTAGTGTGCTGCTGTACTTTCAGCTGCCATCACCTCTGTGTCTCCTTGTCCAAGGGCTTTTAAAGTGCCTGCACACACAGTGAGAGAGTAGTGCCAGCCCTCTCTCCTCCTGACCTCCCTGCCCCCAGCCACTTCTCCCTGAAAGCAAGCCTCAACACATGCATTGGCACATAAATACCTCAGCTCCCTCTCCCCTGACTCTGACACACATGTTCCAAGTGTGGTCCCTGGACTGGTACCAGTCTGGGAACTGTTTATTACTGGTTTGCAGTAACTAGAGAAATTAAGCATTTTGGGAGGCAGGGGTGGGCAGATCACCTGAGGTCAGCAGTTTGAGACCAGCCTGGCCAACCTGGTGAAACCCCATCTCTACTAAAAAAATACAAAAATTAGCCGGGCGTGGTGGTATGCACCTGTAATCCCAGCTACTCCAGAGGCTAAGGCTGGAGAATCACTTGAACCCAGGAGGCAGAGGTTGCAGTAATGGTGCCACTGCACTCTAGCCTGGGCAACAGAGGGAGACTCCATCTCAAGAAAAAGAACAAAAAAAAAAAAAAAAGAAAAAGAAATTGAGAATCAGCATTTGGGAGTTTCTCTAGCAATCTCATTGGGTAATTATATATATTTCAAACCCAATAGTAAAAAATTGGGGCTTGTATTTTGTATGCCTTGTTTTTTTACTTTTTCTAGGAATTCACTTTTATTGTATATTCAGAAGTGTCAGGAGGAGAAAAAAGTATTGGTCTAAAACATCTTAGAAATTAAAAAGAAAAAAAATGAATCCTTTAGCATAGATAGTTTGAAGAGAAGTCTTCTACACTGTTTCCCAATGGGGTTAAGCTCTGGCTGTGCGCTATTGTTCAATAATGCATGCTTTATTGCCCATCTTTCCTTTCTTGTCTTATTTCTCCACTACCCTACAAGTACTTCCTTGGATATCTCCCTAAATACACCACTTACACTCAAATTCATGTCTCAGGGTCTGCTTCTGGGAAGAACTCAGCCTAAGACAATGACTTATGTTTCATTCCAATTAATTCCAGAAGCCAGTTAGTTGCATCCTGTGATTTTCAAGTGCTTATGCCTTTGAAATGAAATGACTAAAGTTTCTTCATGGAAGTACCTTTTAAAAATACCTCAAGCCTTTAAGAGCATTTAGAGCGATTCAAGAGGCATTTTTGTTCAATTCCACCCATGTCTTAATACATTTAAGAAATGATTATGAGTAAGACATCCTAGAATGTGATCACCACATTTATCCACACTTTAATTTCACGAAAGCATTGAATTGTCCACCGTCTTCTCCTCCATTTACTCTGCTTTGCCCTCACAAAAAGCTCAAACATTGCACGAACTTTGCATGTACGTCCTCAGCCCTAGAGGTCTCAGGATCCTAGGAGAGACCAGGGCTATGAAGCGGGACCATATTCATTCTCAGAGTCTTCTAAATACAAGGGATTTCAAAGGAGCTGATCGCAAATCAAAGTAAAGAGCCACAGTCTTGGCTTTGTTCCCTGTCTGCTGTTTGTATATTTCATAGTATGCATGGGCTTGGGGTGCCCATGGCGGGGCCTGATGGTTATAACCACAATCAATCAATCCCAAACTATTTTCAGGACCTGCCAGCCATCGGGACAACTTCCAAAACTGTGTGAGTTTTCTTTTCATTATTTAAAGACTGGTGAAAGGATGCAAAAATACTTAATGAAAGGGTCAGGCTGACCAAGTGATGGGCCAGCTGAGGGCTTAAGGCCTGGGCTGTCAGAAGGGCATTAGCACCTGGGTCTCTCAGGCAGGCACACTTGGCATCTGGGCATCGTTTCATCCCTGGCATTGGGGTTGCGTGGTGCTGGGTTAGCTTTACAGCTCTAGTCTAATGCAGACGAAGTACCAAAGGGCCAATGAGACACTTAATACTGGTTTCCCCACTACCTTCATAGTCTAAAACTTTGCTCCTAGCTAAGACACAGTGGCCAAAAACCCCAAATGCTGTGAGCATTGGCCCAGGGCAATACTAATGGATCCACAGAGCACTATGTGCAGCAGCATAATCAGCAAACGAGGAGCAGCAAAGGCCTACATTATCATATCTGTGTCTTGCACCTCTGTGAACAGCAAAAGTGGCCCACTCTGCTTCTTCTCTGAGTAGGAAAACATGGCCAGAGCTCTACCAGACACCTTCAGGCTAGCGGTGCCAGGTAAAATATAGGACAGCCAGTTACATGCAAATTTCAGAGAAATAATATATTTAGTATAAGTATATCCCAATTAACACAGGGATACTTATACAAAAACAAACAAACAAAAAAAGATTTGTCATACCTGAAATCAAATGTAAACTAGCCATCCTGGATTTTTATTTGCTAAATCTGGTAACTCCTCCTTGGATCCTTGCTACCATTTCTGCATGCCCCTCCCTGTAGCTTTGGGGTGGTTTTGCTTCCAAGGAATTGTACCTGTGATCCTTCTTTTGCATGCCTGCTCTTGGGCTGCCAAAGCCACTTTGCCTGCAGACATAGAGAGGGAACGTGCATAGGAGTTTGCCTCCTTCACCTGGCCACAGGATGGCCCCTTGCTGGGCAACAATGATTGGGCACAGGTGTAGGAAAGGCCAGCTTTCTTGCCTTGAATATATCTAGCAGGCTCAGGCTGGAGCTCCCCTCTGTGGAAGTGGTCGGTCCCAACATTGCACACTCAATTGGCTTCATCTGCTCACTTGTCCTGCTTCCTTCACTCCCTTATCAGTTTCCCCTGGGAGCACATCCATCAGAAATCACTCACGTCAGAATCTATAGCTCAAGGTCTGCTTCTGGGGAATGGTGACTAAGATGGCTCAATAAGAAAGGGGTCTTCAGGGGGTGAGGAGAAGGCTTAACAATTTTGAAAAGCTGAAGGAAAGGCAATGGGGAGACCTTCCAGGGAGAAAGGTTCTTACTCCCTGTAGCTTATGCTGGAGAGGAGTGGGAGGGGGTGAAATTAAGCTTTCCAGCCTGCCTCCCTTGAGATGGAGGGTAGTCAGCCATTTGGCCTCCAGAGCAGAGCCTGGGCACTTGCCTCCTGGCTAGGAACCCACTGCTTTAAGTGATGCTTCAGTGCTCAAGCTCCTGTGGGGTCCTCTGTGCAGTCATGGGTCCTTCCTTCCACACCTGCTTGGCTTAGTTTTGCCCCTGGTAAGACTTGCAAGCCCTTAGCACACTGCCTGGCATGTGGAAGGTACTCTGGATATGTTGGAAGAATGAATAACTGAAGTTACATCATTTTCTTACAGCCAGTGTTCTGTGCTTCCCCAAGGCCTCCCTGGTCAAACTCAGTCTCTTAAACTTGCTGCAAATGCACCAAGTCATAGGATATCTAACAAGTCTTCAGGTTCTGAAGCCCTGGGGCAGGAAGGCCACGCACCGTGATTTGCATGGTTAAAAGTGAAAGCAGGTAGCTGCAGGGTTAGCCCCAGTTTCTTGAAAATGGAAAGGCTATTCTCCACCTTGCCTGCACAGAGGAATCACCTGGGATAGCTTTAAACAGTTGTGAAGTTTGGGTCTCACGGCTAGAGATTCTATTTTAATTGATGTGGGTGTGACCTGAGCATAAAGATTTTTGACAGTTTCTAAGAGATTCTATTATGCAGTTGAAGCTGAGAGCCACTGGGCAAGGAAGTTCTATACCTGGATGGAATGACTCAGGGCACCTTTGATTAAATAGGATGATGGTGTTGGGGATGGTAAAGGCATTAGGTTAATCGGGCTTTATCATTTAAAATTCTGGGATGTCTGCATTTCAGGAAATGAATGGTTCCTAGATTGAAGGAAGCTATTGTAGTTCAGCAGTTACTGCAGAGGTTCTCAAACTTAAGGGTGCATCAGAATCACCTCTAGGGCTTATAGAAATGCAGGTTGTTGGGCCCCACCCCTAGAGTTTCTGATTCAGTAGGTGTGGGGAGAGGCCCCAGATTTTGCATTTCTTAAAAATCCCCAGGTGATGTGGATGCTGCTGGGCTGGGGTACACATTTTGAGAACCACTGATTTCCTGTGAATTCTATTTGGAGCTAAGCTGATTCTCTTGAGAGTAATTTTTACTTTAACTTATTTGTTACCCATTGGTTTATCCCTCAAAAGTGTTCCTTAGGGACTGTATATTAGTTAGTTTTTTTCTGTAATCATGCTATGTAACAAACAACTCCCAAATGTCAGTGACTTATGACTGCAAACATTTATTTCATACTCACAAATATGGAGGTTGGCTACAGTTTAAACCATGCTAGATTTGAGTCCAGGCTTCAGTTTGTATTCATATTTGTTCCACATGGATTTATTCTGAGACCCTGACTGAAATAGCAATGGCTACCTGGAGCATGCTTATTTCATAACAGAAGACAGAAGCTTCAAGAGGGCTGGCAGAAGCTTAAAGCTTTAATTCGTAGCTTGATACGCTATCATTTTCACCCACATGCCATTGGCCAAAGCAATTCCCATGGTCAAGCTCAGCATCAGAGGACGGGGAAATACACTTTGTCCATGGTAAACAGTATCAGGGACAAGGAGTAAAGAATGATGGGCAAACAATATCATCTATCACAACTTGTTAGATGTCAGGCCTCTCATGAAGTTCTGAAGGGACACAGAAAGATAAAATGGAGTCTTGGCCTCTGAGAAGCACAGGTTGGCACGAAAGACAAAGATACAAGGAGGTACTAGAAATGAGATGCAGGACGAATGAGCAGCAGGAACATGCAGGTGGGAATGGTCCTGATCGCTGAGATGTCTACTATCTCACACTGTGCAGCCAAGGTCCTTGGAACTGGGCCCAGGCTGCAGTTCTGGAAGCCAGGCCTGTGTGTGGAAGCAGCTGAGCCGGCACACAGCTACAGGGCATGGAGCAAAGGGAAGTTGAGTCTGTGCCTGGGCGGAGGCAAGTTTGTTCCAGAAAGTCCAGAGTACCTAGTCCAAAGCGGAAAATAGCTAAGAGGGAGAATTGGCTTTTTTATCAAAGGGCTGCCACAGAAAACAAGAAACATGAGCACGGCATTAGGGAAGTGAAGCCTGTGGGTAATTTGTGGTGGCAAGGGGTTGGAGGCGGAAAGACTGTTTGATGGGGTGCCTACTGTATTGAGCTTCAGGCAGCAAAGGTATTACGAAAGCCGTCAAGTTGGAGGACCGGAAAAGGAAAGTGGATCTGGGCAGCTTTCCCAGAGGAGCAAGTATTCCACCTGGGGCATAGCTGGTGAGTAGGAGTTTGTTAGCAGATGGAAGCTAGATGACAGGAAGGGGAGCGTTAGGAGCTTGGGTGACAATTCCAGGGGCACTGAGACTCCTCTCTTTTCCAGTAAGTTCCTGCAGTTGCTATCTTTGCCCCAGTCCACTCCTCATCCTCACCCCCAAGTTCCAGGCTGCCATGATGGCCACAGCTGTGTTTGTGTTTCCAGGTCACTGAGGTTTTATTGCCTCTGAGGTTCAAGGATTTTTTCCTCCTCAAGTATTTACCACTGAAATTATGTTTGATCTCAGAATGATTACAAAACTCTGAGGCTCCCAAACAGTATCACTTAGACTGAGTTTTCTGGGGACTGGTGTCCAGAACTGACATCCCCAGTGCTAGGTTCAAACATAGGATCTGCCAGAACTCCCCCTCTTCAGCTATCCTTCATAGGTGAGTGAGGGGAGAGCCCTGCCTCCACTAAGCCAAGTTCTAGCCATCATCTATTATCAGAGAAACACAGTAAGTCCCCTAAGATGGCACGATTAAACACTCTAAAGTCTTGAAGTCATCCTTCCAGGAATCTAGAGGCTCACATGAAAATTCTACTTCTGGGAGTCTGCCATGACATCCTCAATCTCCTGAGCTGAGTGAGTGAATGAGGCCAGGAAGACCTCAACTTCATAAAGAAAGGCATTTGAGATGGAAGGAAAAGCTAGCTCAAAGGCACAAAGAGGTAAACACTCTGTTGGTGTCAGCAGTGTCTGCTCAATTAGACATGGCTGAGCCAGGTTAAGCAGGGTGGGTTGAGAAGTTAAGTCAGGGTGAGGAGTGGAGAATGAGCCTGCATGGGAGGGAGGAGCTGGTAGCTGGTGGGGGCGAGGCTATATGTAGGCAGCAGAGACCATAAAAGCTGTTCAAAAGGGGAAGTGGCTCTTTGCAAACTTTATCACATTTCCTCTGAAAAGTCCCATTGAAGTCAGAGGAGACTGGAGAGAGATTCGAGAGAACACTGATTAGGGCCATGGTGTCGGAAAGCTTGGAAAGAGAACATTCGAGAACCTTTAGTCTTTTCAGCATGAGTTGCAAAGTCAACTTCCTACAGGGATGGGACAGGGATGTAAGGGAACGAGCAGGCTGGGTTTTCTTCTTTTTTTCATTCCAGAATGGCATCCTAGGCTTTGCTGTGCTCTGTGGGAAAATGCTTTGCATAGTAATGACATAAGAGTCTCCAATTCCACTCCAAGATATATGTTCACTCCCATTTTCCTTTAAAGACACATCCCTTTCTTTTCTGCACCTTTGATAGAGACATGGGTATGGGAAATATTTCATTCTCCTCTTAATGGCAACATACCAGACCCACAAAATGAAAAGAAATGATTTATGGCAACTGATAGCTGGCCTCACTGGAAGAGAGTTGTAGGGAGCACTGGGGTTGTGGAAAGCTAAGTGGGGATGTCCAGACCCAAAAGGGAGCTATCCTCTTCTCAGCTTCAGTGGGTGAGATCAAATTTTCTAATTTTGAAGAAGAAATGGAAAAAAGTTTTAGTATAAAATCTTTCTATTTTTAAACATTGGCTACCAATCTGCATTTTTTGCCATGCTGCAGAGGCCAGACATAGACTGTGGGACCCTTGATTTGTACCTCTCCCCAGATCTTTACTGGGGATCGTGCCCTTAGATGTGAGATTGTCAACTTTTTCCAACAGCGACACCTTGAAGACAGTCATGGTCCAGAAATGGCAGGGCTGTATCAGGGGACTGGGGAGTTGAGGTGAGCTTGGGGGTAGAGATGGTGGCCTTCTGAGAAATAAAGGGGAAAAAGATTTGTGGTTTTGGTTCCAGCCATTCCAGTTCTGTGGGGCTACTCCCATGAGGCAAAGCTCCCTGTTCCCCTTGTCTAATACACTGAAATCCAGATGGGTCAAGAGGCCCCAAGGCCCAGCCAGAATCCACTGGAGCTAGGGGTAGGGGGGCAGGCAGTCAAGTGGGCTGTATTAGTTTCCTGGGACTCTGTAAGAAAGTATCACAAACTGGATGGCTTAGAACAAGAGATTCATGCTCTCACAATTCGGGAGACCAGAAATTCAAAATCCAAGTGCCGTCAGGGCCATGCTGTCTCTGAAGACTCTAGGGAAGGATCCTTCCTTACCTCTTCCAGCTTCTGGTAATTGCTGGCAACCCATGGCACTCCTTGGCTTATAGACGCATCACTCCAACCTCTGCTTCCATCTTCACATGATGATCTTCCCTTTGTGTGTGTCTGTGTCCAAACTTCTCTCTTCTTATGAGGACATCCGTCATTGTATTTAGGGTCTACTTCATCTTAACTTGATTACATCTACAAAGACCCTATTGCAGGAGAAGAGGTACCCAGATGGCCTTGACTGACCTAACTCTTCTCCACCCTGCCGCTTATAGTTCCCAGAATATTGGAGAATATGCCAAGAATGCAATATCTTCTGATAAGAAGGCACTGTCTGGAACAGCCTGGGCTCTGTCCTCAGTTCTTCTAGAACAGAAATGTCCTATAGTGCTTATTCTCAGCAATTCCAGTGACACTGAGGGTATAAAACCCAGGGCTGAGTGCTTTTGGGGCCCCTCAGTTGCAGTGTGACATGGAGCACATGCAGAAGAGACTCCATCCACCTTAAGCAGCTTTCTTGAGCCTTGGGGAACTGGCTCACCATGGGTCCTAGGCTTCTCTTTGCTTTTGCTGCCTATTACTCTGTGAGTAATAAATCTGCTTTGCTTGACTTGTGTGAGTGTTCTGACTCACTAAATTTATGCCAGTGGGAAAGGGCCGTTGCATCCATTTCCAAACAAGACCACATTTTGAGGTTCTGGGTGAACATGAATTTGGTGGGGGGAGCGGCATTATTCAACCCAGCACATCAGCCATCTTGAATTCCTGACTCCTTCATCAGGCGAGTATTCAGGATGGCTGGGCCGCAGTCCCATCAGGCCATGCTGAGGCCCACTTCCATGTCTCAGTCAGGTGTGTGCCACTGGTGGCCTGGAAGGACAAGCAGAAGCCCAAGGCCCTTTAGGGGTTGACAGCGCTGTGGGCAGGCCCAGTCTCTCAGAAGAGGGCTGAGGTCGGAGGCTGGCTGGGACTCACATGGGAAAGCTGATGCTGGAGGGAGTGGGCATTCCTTGCCCCAGTGCTGAGCAGGGACATCATCACTTAGCCCTGAAGCTCCTGTGGCTTGAGTCCCAGCTGCAGGTCCTTGCTGGCTTAAGAGCTCTGTCCTGACAAAATAAAAACAACTCTTAGGTAGCTCTTGCTACATGGCAAGAGCCCCCGGAGAACTACTGTGGCTTGCAAATGAATCTCTGGGAAGAGGAGGGGGAACAAGGAGATAGCTTGCATGCTGAAGCTCTGATTATTCTATGGCAACTTTTCAGACACTGAGAGAGCCTGTGTCTTGGATGTCTTCTCCTTTCCCACCTAGCTTTGGGCCTGCTTATATATCCTGGCCTTCCACGTTTTCAACCTTTAGGGGAACACTTTTCTGCCCTCTTACTCTTGTATTCTCCCTAACAATAACTTTGTGGCCACCCCTTGCTTATGGGCCCCTGTGGTGGCCCAAATTGGAGGATCTCTGGTCCCTATAGGCAGAAGGAGCTATGTCTGTTTAGGAAACGCAGCAGAGAACCTGAAGGGCACATGAACTTCCTTTGGAAGTTCAGAGTCCCAGGAACATAGGTTGTGGGATTCCTGAGTTGGAGAAGACATTAACTGTCACCAAATTAACTTTCTTGGAGCTTTGAGTCTCCTCTCCATGGCTGCTCCTCAGGGTCATCCCATGCTTGAAAAAGCTGCAGAGACAGGGCTTTTGCTACCCCCAAGGCAGCCCAATTCATTTTTAGGCAACTCTAATCTTTTATCAAATTCGTCCTGATGCTGAGTCAGAATCTGCCTCACTGGGCACTTCACCCCTTAATCCTGGTTTATCCACTGGGGCCTGGAGCACAGGTCTAATTCATCAAATCATAAGCTATCAGAGCTGGAGGCCACCAAGGCCAACCCCTCATCTTAAGTTCCCTTTCTTTCTCCAGATGCCGCTTCCAGATGACCAGCCTTGGCCAGAATTATCTGCAGTTTGTATTTGTCTGCTTCTTTCCTGGATTTTAAGAGTATTTTATTTTTGTTTTCTTGCTAGACTTGGGTACCCTTTCTGAAAAACCAGGTTGGCCTTCTCAGTCTATGAAGAAAAGGAGGGTGGCAAAAGTGCCCTGCACAGGTATGACAAATGGAAGACCAGTGGCTACACTCACGAACCCAAAGACCAGAGTGGGCAGGAGGCAGACAGGCCTGTCTCCCCACCAACCTGAGGTCTGCAGAGGACCTAAGGCTGCAGGCAGCTGTTCTCTCTGACTAGCACCCCCCCATCCTCGATATAAAAGCACACCCATCATAGTATTTATAGAACTAGTAAATAAAGAATAAAATAGCAAGTGAAAGTAGATTTTGATTGCCTACGTGTTGGTAAAACCCAGCTGGAATAATTTGATTCATGCATGGAAAAATGCCTCCAAAGCAGGGCCTTTTTTTAGTGTGCCGAAACTGAAGCCCTCCAGCCGCAGATAGAAATTTCTGCTCCTATAGTTTGGCTCTAAGACTAAGAATTAAAATCTAAAATGAGATTCCAAGAGAACTAATTATTTGATCCCTCAAAATATACCAACTATCCGTTTTCCAATCTTGCAGACAAAGCTGCTGAATGAAGGAAGAGATGATAACGCCCTCTTTGGCACCCAGCTCTTTCTGGGAGGTACATTCTCACCCAGTTGGAAGGGAATGAAGACTATCTCATCTGTCAGACCTCTGGACATAGCCCCGTGGCACAAAGAGATGTGTCTTTAGGCAAAATTAGGCAGCTTGTGAATTTGATTTCTGTTCCTAGTATAAAGGGGCTGTGACTAATTTTATATTCTGAAAGTGGTTTTGAGGAATGAAAAATCTATTCTTCCCACCCCCAACCACCCACTCCCTCGAATAAGGGTTTCCTTTTCCCAAGACGCCAGATTGCTTTGCAGACAATGCCACTCACTTATTATAGAAGGTTCTAGGAGAAGTTGGCATAGAGCATACTTCTGTTCCTGGGAATTCTCTGGCTTAATGGACACTGGACTTATCAGTGGCCCATGGCTGTCGACAGCTGCTGCTTTTCTTGTCTGTGATGCCCCCTCAAATGCACAAACACACACACAGGAAGCCCTAATATGGTGACCTTAAGAGCTAGTTTAAAAAATTCTTTTGTTTTAGAAATTGTGTGGGCTGGTAGAAAGATGAAGTGAAGTTTTCACAATTAAGAACTGTGCTTTGGAGTGTTGATCCCAGGAGACAAACTCCCAGAAAACATGCCTTCACTACTCTTGACTTTGGCTTTCACTTAGGCATCCAATTGGGTTTCTAAGATTTATTTTTTAAAATGTGAGGATTAAGGGATTCCCAATCACTTAATGAGAATGAAGGATGAAGGGGTTTCCAATCACTCATATTTTAGTGAGAATTAGTCCAAGAAAATAGCTTTCCTCTGAAACCCCTTTTTGCATTCGGCTACTTGGGGTGAGAGAGAGGGTTAATTTTAGCTATAGTGCACCTTGGGGACTGAGGACCTAAATTAAGAGATTCCTACATTTGAATTCCAACATTTTCTAATGTTCAGATGCATCTGATAGACCAGTAATTTGTCTAAGGAGATTGACCACCATTTTAAACACTGTCTTCATGGGGCGGGGGGCGGGGGGCGGGGGGGGCGTTTGTTACTAGTTCTGAACAACCAGCTTGCAAGTGAATTTTTTCAGTCAATAATTTAGCCAATGATGAAACTGACATTCATAAAGGCAAAAAGGTCTCACATGTGCAGTAGTGAAAAAAGAATTCATTCCTCCAGATGTAGGGTCATGGTGTTACAGATAAAGGAAGGGCTCGTAGTACAAAGAAGCCCACAAGGACAAGCCTATGGGGTCATGGTGAAGTGCTTTGTCATTGCATTCTACCACCCCCTCCCCAACTCCCTGCTACTACTTATTTTCAGTTCTACCCTGCCAGGGGGTTTCTGAGGTGTTGCCCCAGAAGTGCCCAAACCCTGACCTGCTGTCAAGGGCATCCCTGTAGATGTTCATCCTCTCTCATGGGGAACCTCCATGGAAATCTAATTATTCATATTCCAATTATTGCTAAGCTCCAGCGATTGAAATGATGCATGACTTCTTGTCATTAGAACACCGCTAGTATGGTCAGAGTTCTGTGTCTGCAATGGTTTCGGGACCGCAGGGCAGAGGCAAGAATGAGGAGGAAGGAAGACTTTTTTCCACCTGGCACCTTGGACTGAAGTTGCTCAAACTTCAGTGATGGTTATGCATCAGTTTTGCACACTGGAGCGAGTGAACACCTGCAACTGCCTGCAGGATCTCACGTGGACGTTTTTAGGTAAACGGAGCTCATAGTTTCATCATATTTTCCTTTGTGTGTGTGTGTGTGTGAGACAGAGTCTCACTGTCACCTACGCTGGAGTGCAATGGCATGATCTTGGCTCACTGCAACCTCCATCCCCCGGGTTCAAGCTATTCTCCTGCTTCAGGCTTCTGATTATCTGGGATTACAGGTGTGTGCCACCATGCCCAACTAAATTTTTTTGTATTTTTAATAGCGATAGGGTTTCATCATGTAGGCCAGGCTGGTCTCAAACTCCTGACCTCAGATGATCTACCCACCTTGGCCTTCCCAAGTGCTGGGATTACAGGTGTGAGTCACTGCACCCTGCCCTCATCAGATTTTCAAAGGGATTGTGACCACTCCCATGAAAAAGATTAAAAACACCAGCATAGAAAATTAGGATGATATATGGTAAAATGATTGCATCAGTTCAAATAGGTAAGACTATGTTAGAGTAACAAACTCGGTGGCTTAAATGCAGCAAAGCTTATTCCCTATTTATGCTCTGTGCCTGATATGGGCTGGCAGGGAGAATATGCTCACTGCAGCCACTCAGATGCCCAAGCTGAAAAAGTCTTCACCTCGACAGAAGCTTCCCCCATCACCACAGCAGCAGGAAAACCAAGTGTCCTGAAAGCTCACTGGCTGTTAAACTTCCACCCAGGCGTGCTCACATTTTTAATTGGCCCAAACAAGTGACATGGCCATCAGGTGTCTCAAAAACAGAAGGGGACATCTGATCCATCGTGTGCCCACACGGAGAACTGGAATATTTGTGAACATCCCTAATGTCTACTGCTGTGATATAAAAATTTTGGAAAGAAAACCATAAAGTGTTCAGCTAATCCACTTTAAAAATTAAGAGCAAGGAACATAAAACTGTATTCAACAAATATAGTGCATAATAAAAGGAATTCAATTCCTTGTTATGGCCAATTAAGATAGAAAAAGTCGGGTGAAAGAGATTGAAAGAGAGTGGGAAAATGAGAGGAGAGGAGAAAGAGGAGGGAAGAAAATGAAAGGGGCTTTTGTGCAGAGAGGAAAAGGGGCAAGGCCACATGTCAAAGCAAGGTCAGTCTTTTCTGCCAGCTGAGCCCTACATCTCATGGTTCCACCCAGGCTGCTGGCCCAGGAGGCCAATTCCCTGGGTGCAGGCAGTCTTCCAAGTTTCCCCGCACCCCAGCTTTCTGCGGGCTGCTCTAAGTAAACAGCACAGCAGGGCCCCCATGCTCTGCATGGAGCTCCTTGCAGAAAATCCCCTCCTTTTGCATTTCCTGGGAGCAACACACTTGAGACCATCTGAGTGAAGCTCAAAGTCAGGAGTGGCTTGTGTGCCAGGATCCCACCCCAGGTCATCCCCCTGCCAGACGCTGGGGTTCCTTTTGTGCGTGAAGGTCACCTGTGCAAAGGCTACAGACAGACCAAAGTGTGTCAAAAGCAGCAAAGGAAATCTCCTTCCCTAATGCAGTAACTCAATTCAGTGCACGTGTTGAAACTATGACATAAATATGCTAAGCACATATTTTATAATAGAAAAGACTCATTCTGTCTCTCTGTACATCTGCATGTTTTAAAGGCATAAACTAGCCCCAAGGGCTGTGACTTCCTCCACCCCCACTTCTTCCCTGGCTCCTGGAGCTGCATCTTCCCTTTGCCCCAGGAAAGCCATGCTTATATGGCTGTCCTCCTGTGGTCCCCTGCTCTCCTCATTTACTGCTCACTAAGAGAAATGGAGAGGTCAGCTTGGAGCCCTCCCTATACTCCTGGAGGAGACATATACCTAGCTGAGAGATGGGCCGGGCTTAGGGGAGAGTCAGGGACAAACGGAGAAATCTTGGGAATGGCACAGGACTGGCTGTCTTGCATTTTCCTGACCAGTTTCAGTTCATTCCTCACTACTACTGCCCTGGGGTAAGGCGGTGTGAACTTTGCTTTTCAAAAGCCATGTCCCCTGTATCAGTCAGCTATTGCTGACAAGCTACTCCAAGATTTAGTGGTCTAAAACAATAGCTGTTTCTTATTTCTCACTAGTCTGTGGCTTAGCCAGACGATTCTTCTGGTCTGGGCTGGGCTCCTTAGGCCTCCTCTAGACTTATCCCACTCAAAGAGCAGCTGATGTGGTATCTGTCTATGGCCAGCTGATGTGGTAGCTGGAGCTGTCTGGGGGTTCTCTCCCATCATCTGGCATCCTCTGCCAGACTAGCCCAAGCTTCTTCACATGGCCATCGTAGGGTTCCAACAGTAACGAGAAGGCACATCCCAGTGTTCAAATGCTTTTCAGACCTCTGCTTGGGCCACTTTTGTTACTCTGTCATTGGCCAAAGTAAGTCACATGGTTAACCCAGATTAAAGGGTAGAGAAATAGATTCAATCTTGCTGGGAGGAGCTGTAAAGTCACTTTATAAAGGTGAAGATAAGGAGGTGGGTGGTACAAGTTTGTAGTCATTTGTAGTCATCTGACACTCTCAAATCCTAGCCTTTTCGTGTCACTTCTCTGGTAGATGGTCTTCCTGATGTCCCCTTTCCCCACACCATGGTCCAGGCCATACAGCCAGTAGGGGATCAATGTGCACTACTCTGTGAGAGACTCAGGGCACCATGATACACAAGCAAAGGGACCCTTTCTGGGTTAGACTTGGTTGTACATGAAAAAAAAAAAAAAAAAAACCATCTGAAATAACAGGGTTTAAACAAGGTAGAAAGTTTTGTCTTGGGCCAAATAGGCAGCCTCGGAGCCTTGATAAAATCACCAGGGACCAAAGGCTTCTTCCAGCTCACTGATTTACCTCCTACAGACAACTTACTTGCCCTCATGATCTAAGAAGGCTGCTAGAGCTCCAGCCATCACATCTGCAGGCAGCAATATGGAAGAAAGAAATAAGGGCATATCTCTCTCTTAAAGGAGATCTTCCAGTGGTCTCACTTACTTCTGCTCACATCTCAGTGGCCAGAAATTAGCTGTACCCTCTAGTATAGGGCACACCTACACAAAAAGGTGGCTCAGAGAAGGCTGGCCACATTGATGCTTCAAATAAATTTTCTGTGACTAGGGAAAAGGAGCAAAAGGACGGGGGCTCTTTGCCAAATAAGTTCTTTTGCACACATGTTATATGACTGTGAAATTCTAAGACATCGTTGCATAAATTTCATTTGTTTAATCATCACACCTGGAGTAGATTCATGTTATCCAGTTAGTTTGGTTCATGTAAATGCATGTAGTCCCCTATTGCAGTCCCCCAGGCAACTTGTCATTCCTTTGTGACTCAGTGGCCTCTTGGGCAATGCTCTGAGGGGGCCCAGGGGCTGGCTCACCTACTCAATCCCAGGGTCGAGGCTCATTTTATTTTATTTTCCAATTTTAATTGCTATATGACAACCTCACAGTAAAATTCACAAATCTGAAGCATATACAGCTGGAGGACTTTTTATATATGTAGCACCCATGCAACGACTGCCCAGATCAAGCTATAGAACATTTCAGCCCCTCCACCCTCACCCAGAAAGTCTCCCAGTGCCTCTTCCCCATCATGTCTCTTCCCCACACCCAACCCTGTAACCTTTTGTGTGAGGAGATCACCTGCACGAAGGCTGTAGTCACCTGTATGGCTGGAATGTCCCAACACTCACGTTGCAAAATAGCATTAAGTAGTCTCACCCATGTTTTGGTTCCTCTTCTCCCCTCTCATGCAGTCTTTATTTGCTCTCTGGTTCTGGTCTCCCTCTCTCTTAAGGCTTCTTTATGCTTCAAAAGCAGTATGGCCTTTCTTGTTTGGGGTTCCCTTCCTTACCACAGCCCTGACTGGTCATATTCTTCCTGCTGGCGTCCGATCAAAGAAACCTGGTAATTTGTAGGACAATTTGACATGTTCTCTGTGGCTGCCATAGGCTGATGTGTAGGAGGACTATACAGACCCACTTTGGTTCAACTGAAATAACTTTATGGTGTCACTACTCAGAGTGCAGCCCCCACCAGTGGCGTCAGTCCCACTGGGAATGTATTAGAAGTGCAGATCCTTTGGCCCCTGAGAGCTGCTCTAAAGTGGCATGGGTATTTTATCAGGAGGTGAGAGCCTCTACAAGCACCTAGGTCTGGGGGGCCTCCATCAAGTTGCTGTGTGCCCCAGGTAGGAGCTGAACAGTAGTGTCACACCACCAAAGCATTATCATTCTATGAAGGCATAGTTGCTCCGTTGTCTTGAACCTGCCATCCCCTGGATCTGGTTTTTCAAACTCTCCTTTTCTTACTACCAATCCACAGTCCCTTCTCTGCAATGGAAACCCAAAAGTTTTGTGTAAGTTTGGCACAAATGTATTTGGCAGCAAAACCTGGTTTGAATTGATATGAGACTTTTTAGGGTTATGATATATCCCTCTTTGTATGATTATTCATGTCTCAGCACAGAACCATCATTGTGTCTGATTACTCATGGGATGTTTCATAAAACATGGTTTCTACAAGTCTTACCTTTCTAATATATGAAAACTTCTTAATTCTGAAACTTATTTGAGCCAAAGGTTTTGGATGAAGGATGTGGACATTTCTCTCCTCTGCTTCACATAGTTTATGCTTTCCACTCCTTTAACTTCCGCCTTCATTTTAAATTATGATTATGATGATGATTATTAATTACAAAGGTAATACTTGTTTGAAAAAACTCAGACTATGGAAATAGACAATCCTGCTCCTGCTTCTGATCACGGCTTACTGTCTCTGCCTTCCTTTTTCTTTTCCTTTACA